CCCCTACCTGCCCCCTTTCAATGCCCCTCTATTTTTTGAAATCATCCATTCCAACTTTGATTCATAAACTTGACGAAAAATGCAATCATATTCAATACTGTGGAATAAAAAGACGACATTTAGGTAATTACATGTGGATTCGACTAATTTCACAATTCAACTTATTAACTGATAGTCGGCTTTTTACACTGTACGTACATTGTACATTGCATAGTTGCTGTGCATGATGTTCATTTAATATAGAATTATATCTTGGGTCTAATAGTTGTCTTCATATTCTGCATTTTTATGGTTCAGCTTTCATTAAATGATTGAAAAAGTTTAAAAGTGTATAAGTGGGGAGTATATGTAGTATATAATTGGGAGTGTATTAAGTATATAAGTGGGGAGTATATGAAGTATATAAGTGGGGAGCGTATTAAGTATATAAGTGGGGAGTCTATTGAGTGTAAAAGGGGGGGAGTATATGAAGTGTATAGGTGGGTAGTATATGTATTGTATAAGTGGGGAGTATATGTATTGTATAAGTGGGGAGTGTATTCAGTGTATAAGTGGGGAGTATATGTAATTGTATAAGTGGGGAGTGTATGAAGTGTAAAAGTGGGGAGTGTATTAAGGATATAAGTGGGGAGTGTATTGAGTGTATAAGTGGGAAGTGTATTAAGTATAAAAGTGGGGAGTGTATTGAGTGTATAAGTGGGGAGTGTATGAAGTGTATAAGTGGGGAGTGTATTAAGTGTATAAGTGGGTAGTGTATTGAGTGTATAAGTGGGGATTGTATTAAGTATAAAATTGGGGAGGGTATTGAGTGTATAAGTGGGGAGTATATGAAGTGTATAAGTGGGAAGGGTATTAAGTATATAAGTGGGGAGTGTGTAAGTGGGGAGTATATGTATTGTATAAGTGGGAAGTATATGAAGTTTGTAAGTGGGGAGTATATGAAGTGTATAAGTGAGTGTACAAAGTGTATAAATGAGGAGTGTATTAATTATATAAGTGGGAATGTATTGAGTGTATAAGTGGGTAGTGTATTGAGTGTATAAGTGGGTAGTGTATTGAGTATATAAGTGGGTAGTGTATTGAGTGTATAAGTGGGTATCATATTGAGTATATAAGTGGGTAGTGTATTGAGTGTATAAGTGGGTAGTGTATTGAGTATATAAGTGGTTAGTATATTGAGTATATAAGTNCCCCGCTTTTCCTTTTTATGGGTTCATGCCTCTGTTTTAGATCAAACCTCACATAAGTATAATGTGATGAGGGAAATTAAATTAAGAAAATAAAAAAACCATTACACAAATGTGAGATAAGAAACCATTTTTCTTATTTAAAAACTGTTCTGCGATATTATTTCTGCTGGCCCGATATTTCCTTGAATAAAAGTTCTTGATTTTTTCTAATATCGATCTGATTTCTTTTATTTTCTAATCCTTAAATTCTATGCAAACTGATGGTGTAAATCTTTGATATTTAAAACTTTGACAATCTTAACTAACTCAATTGAAATATAAAATATCGGAATTAGGGTTGCAAAGATACAAGTACTAAACCAGTAATCAGTTCCTTATTAATCAGATACTAAAAATTTTAAAAATCTTTTTCATTAAAATACAAAATCTAGCTGGGAGGTGGGGTGTTGGGTAACTAGATTGTTGTATTGAGTGAATACTGATACGCAATACATTATCTAGAATTGCTCCCCTAGCTCGTCTTTGAATGAGAAACCCATTTCAGCATTAAAAATTCCAACTGATGTTACGAACAGTCCCCAGAGACAGTTCTCTCCTTTAGATCATTCAGAATCAAATTCTCAGAAAACTTTCCAGGGGTTTAAACCATCTTCTCTTTTCAGGTCATGGTGGAGTAAACCAACTTGGTGGTGTGTTTGTCAATGGTCGACCTCTACCTGATGTTGTTCGACAGAGGATTGTCGAGTTAGCCCACCAAGGAGTTCGACCCTGTGATATTAGCCGACAGCTCAGAGTCTCACATGGCTGTGTTTCTAAAATACTCTCTAGATATTATGAAACTGGTAATTTCAAAGCCGGGGTTATCGGAGGAAGCAAACCAAAAGTTGCCACCCCTCATGTGGTTGACGCGATCAGCAAGTACAAGAAGGAGAACCCAACGATGTTCGCCTGGGAGATCAGGGATCGGTTGCTGGCGGAGGGAGTCTGCAACCAGGAGAGCGTCCCTAGCGTGTCCAGCATCAACCGCATCGTGAGAAACAAAGCGGCGGAGAAGGCAAAGGCTGGAGGCTACGGTTGTATCAGTCCTGGTCCCTCTCCCCTCCATCCTGGTATACATGACTCCCAGGGCAACCTGAGACACCCAACCTACTCCATCAACGGTATTCTAGGAATCCATCAAGCAGATGCTAATGATAATCTAATGAAGAGGAAACGGGACGACGAAGGTAAGAATTTTATTTCTCTTTTTGACAAGTAATTCTTGAACCCACATGATTGTCTGAAATGTATAACATGACTGAGTAAAGTGCACTTGCAGTTATTAAGGTGCACTTGCAGTATGCAGACAGTGCAAACAATATGACGGTTTAACAATTTTGGTGTGAAGACTCTGTTAGAAATTTCTTAAATCTTATTGATCAATCAAGAAATAAACACATAAATAAATGGAAGGGTTGAATTACTCGATGATATTATTCTTTTTGAACATGAAAAACCAGGAATTTCTTAATTTTTGGAAACAACGTTTCATAGATGAATATTTAAAAAAAAAGATTTTTTGGAACGGCCTACGTATTTCTCCAAATTTCTATTGACATTATTTACATTTTTGTGTGAACAATTTAAATATTTGTTTTGGTTTAACTAAGTTATTTTATTGAGCTGTAAACTCCAAGTGGAGATCGTGGGAAAAATGAATTAGCATGTATTGTTTGGGAATTCGGCTCAGGTTCAGTTACTTGAACTTTGTAAGTACTTTAACCATCATATTGCCGAGAGGCCCCGACTCCTGTGAAAACCTGTCAATACCCTCGTGGATTTACTGTATGTACACTATAGTAAAGATTGTGTTGCGGCAAACATCTCAATCTTGCACGTTGCAGGGGTTCAACCTCAAATGCGGGAAATCAGTGGAAATATATTTATCTCCGCGGGATTTTGCCCAATATTCCCCATCTTTGGACATTATTGGGATGTCAGTTTCACGTAAAGGGAATTGCCCAAGTTTCCGACTTTCCCCCCATACTCTCTCAATCTAATGGAGGTATATCCACAAAAGGCATTTGCTGATCCAATTTTTTTTTACGATTTTGAATGGATTTGTTCTGCAGCTTTATAAATTATCTTTTACTGTGCACGGGGGGGGGGGTACAAGGTATAATGAAGATGCTACCAGTTGTGGATTGTCCACTAGGGTATGTTTGCTGCGTGACGATGATGAGAAGTAGGGTGACTCAATACTCATTATTCTTTTATCCAAACACCTTATACTGGATACATATATATAGTCATTTATATCATTTATATATAGTATTAATAGATAGCACTAGAAAGAAAAATCACAGAGACCCAAACAGCAATGACAATTATGCATCTATTATCAAGGTCTGGTCGACTTCAAAACTTTGCCACGTTTTCATTTTAAAACTGGCAAAACACTTTTGTTTACTGTGAAATGCTATTCTCTTATTAACTATATAGGCAATGAAAAGGATTCTATTGTGTAACTAAGTATGAAGCTATAAACATGATCAGATTCTCACTTATACTTTGTTATAGCCCTGACTTTTATAAAATAGAACTATAAAGAACTTGTTTTTAATTTCAGTTTTTAAGAAGTAATCAGGAAAATTCTCATTAAATTTGTTGTGAGAGCTTGCAACCTTTGGATCAATGTATTTCGCATATTAAAGTTATGGGAATTGGTATAATAGTAAAAAGATGGAATGCTGTTATGCATAGCAAAATTATGGGAAGTATGAATATTAAAATGATGGGAAGAAAAGAATATTAAAATTTTGGGATGTTTTGAATATTAGAATGATGGGAAGATTTGAATATTAAAATTATGGGAAGTTATGAATATCAAAATGATGGGAAGATATGAATATTAAAATTATGTGAAGATGAGAATAATAGAATCATGTAAATTTATAAATATTAAAAATATGGGAAGATATAAATATTAAAATGATGGGAAGTTAGAAATATTAAAAATATGGGAAGATATAAAAATTAAAATTATGGGAAGTTAGAAATATTAAAATTATGGGAAGTTATGAATATCAAAACAATGGGATGTTATGAATATTAAAATGATGGGAAGTTATGAATATTAAAATTATGGGAAGTTATGAATATTAAATGATGGGAAGTTATGAATATTAAAATTATGGAAAGTTATGAATATTAATATGATGGGAAGTTATGAATATTAAATGATGGGAAATTATGAATATTAAAATGATGGGAAGTTATAAATATTAAAATGATGGGAAGATATGAATATTAAATGATGGGAAGATATGAATATTAAAATTATGTGAAGATGTGAATAATAGAATCATGGAAATTTATAAATATTAAAAATATGGGAAGATATAAATATTAAAATGATGGGAAGTTAGAAATATTAAAAATATGACAAGATATAAATATTAAAATTATGGGAAGTTAGAAATATTAAAATTATGGGAAGTTATGAATATCAAAACAATGGGATGTTATGAATATTAAAATGATGGGAAGTTATGCATATTAAGATGATGGGAAGTTATGAATATTAAGATGATAGGAAGTTATGAATATTAAGATGATGGGAAGTTATGAATATTAAGATGATCGGAAGTTATGAATATTAAAATGATGGGAAGTTATGAATATTTAAATGATGGGAAGATATGAATATTTAAATGATGGGATGTAATTCTAAGATTTAAGATTAGAATAGAAAACTTAACAGTGAAAGAAAAGAAACTTTTTATCTCCTGGTATACATGACTCCCAGGGCAACCTGAGACACCCAACCTACTCCATCAACGGTATTCTAGGAATCCATCAAGCAGATGCTAATGATAATCTAATGAAGAGGAAACGGGACGACGAAGGTAAGAATTTTATTTCTCTTTTTGACAAGTAATTCTTGAACCCACATGATTGTCTGAAATGTATAACATGACTGAGTAAAGTGCACTTGCAGTATGCAGACAGTGCAAACAATATGACGGTTTAACAATTTTGGTGTGAAGACTCTGTTAGAAATTTCTTAAATCTTATTGATCAATCAAGAAATAAACACATAAATAAATGGAAGGGTTGAATTACTCGATGATATTATTCTTTTTGAACATGAAAAACCAGGAATTTCTTAATTTTTGGAAACAACGTTTCATAGATGAATATTTAAAAAAAAAGATTTTTTGGAACGGCCTACGTATTTCTCCAAATTTCTATTGACATTATTTACATTTTTGTGTGAACAATTTAAATATTTGTTTTGGTTTAACTAAGTTATTTTATTGAGCTGTAAACTCCAAGTGGAGATCGTGGGAAAAATGAATTAGCATGTATTGTTTGGGAATTCGGCTCAGGTTCAGTTACTTGAACTTTGTAAGTACTTTAACCATCATATTGCCGAGAGGCCCCGACTCCTGTGAAAACCTGTCAATACCCTCGTGGATTTACTGTATGTACACTATAGTAAAGATTGTGTTGCGGCAAACATCTCAATCTTGCACGTTGCAGGGGTTCAACCTCAAATGCGGGAAATCAGTGGAAATATATTTATCTCCGCGGGATTTTGCCCAATATTCCCCATCTTTGGACATTATTGGGATGTCAGTTTCACGTAAAGGGAATTGCCCAAGTTTCCGACTTTCCTCCCATACTCTCTCAATCTAAT